GACGAGGAGAATGAGGAGGACAAGGAGGATGAGGAGGAAGACGAGGAGAAGAAGAAAAAGAAGAGGAAGAACAAGGAGAACAAGAAGAAGAGGAAGAAAAGGAAGAGAAAGAGGAAGCGGAAGCAGAGGAAGAAGAGGAAGAAAAGGAAGAGAAAGAGGAAGCGGAAGCAGAGAAAGAGGAAGAAGAAGAGGAAGAAGAAACTAACCTCCAGATTTTCAAATTGAAGTAGAGCACCCTTAGTAAGCACTCTGTTACTCTATTCCAAAGTTATTAGTAATGATTCTTCTAGCACAAAGTTTGTGCTACACAGATATTTACCTAGGAGTTGCAGGACTGAACTTTTCTTCTCTTTCTATTTCTTTTCTTTGAATCAGGGGATTTTCAATTATCACTAAAACAGAGGGCAAAGTATGATGACATCATACAACAGTAAGAGGATTAATAATAAAAGTGTATAAGCAATGAATCTAGCACTATAATTCTAACTTCTAAACTGGTGTCAAGAATCCTTCACAGATATATTGTGTGAGAATTGGTCTCCTGAGATGCAGCCATCAATTTGACTCCAGATAACTTTTCCAGTGTTTTATGTTTAAGTCTCAACATGTGGTTTATATTATTTTAGCAACTTAGCTGCACTCAACATTTGATTTGCATATAATGTTCTTGTCAATAAAAGTAATTGACCTCTACTACACACTTACCTTTGGAAGCAATAGTGAGGGGTGGAAACAGCAATGCAAAAGTGAACAGAACTCACCAATTTCAGCTCTGGCACTTCCTAGATTTCTGAACACAACATTTTAGGGTTTCAATTTTCCCATGGCCTACATTAGATCTTTTTTGCTCTGTTTTGTTCCTTCCACACACAACCGTCCCATGACTACCAACCCTATCTTGAAAATAAAGAAACTGCAGCTCAGTGGTTAAATAACTTTCCTGAGGTTTTATTTCTAGAATGTAGTAGAGCTAGAATTAGAATTTTTCTGATTCAAAAAATCTATACTCTTCTCACTGTACCACACTAACATCTTATTTATATGACTAATCAGACTTGACACTTTTTAAAATCCCTTATCTCTTTTTTTTTCTACAGTTTTATTGATAAACATATAGCAATGAGACAGTTTCAAATCAAATCGGAAGTACAGTTTCAACAAATAATACACTGCATATATTCTTCTTAGTGGTTAATTGCTGTACAAGATGCGGACTTGTGATCCTATTTACAAACACCATTAGAACAAATCATTCCAGTCATTAAGACAATAAAATCCCTTATCTCTTGATCACCAACATCAATATATATTTTAATATTAAAATATATCTTTATTTCTCTATATAACTGATGTTTTACCATTTATTCAAAGAATATTTATACCTGTTCTGGGACCTAGGAAGTTTGCAAGGTTTTCTGCCTTCATAGTCCACATGTTTAATAACCTTATTCAATTAGAGAAATACTATACATATTATTGAAAATTAACAGTATAAAGCAAAATATAATTATGTACCAAATGATATAAGTAATTTATTTGACCTACAGTATTGCAGAAAAGTAGTTCAATTTCTGCATTCTTTCTCTCCCATAAAGCAGAGCTAGTACACCTGCTTTCCTGTTTCTGTTTTGTTTAGACATGTTATCTATCTGGTGACTAAATTCTACCTTTTATGCTATGTATGCTACCTCATTAAACATTCACAATAACCTAATGGCTTATTGGTTCATATAATGTCAATAAATGTTAGAGCTGGAATTTGGATCCAGATCTGTGCTTTCAAAGTCCTAGCTTTTCATTTTGTTTTGAAACAGAATCCCACTATGTAGTCCAGGATGGCCTTGAACTCACAATTCTCCTGTCTCAGTCACTTGCATGCTGGGATTACAGGCAGGCACCACTACACCTGGCTGAAAGTCCTTATTATTTTGTACTGTCAGAGAGATACTGGTATGAGAAAAAAATGAAAAAAATTGGTATTTCAACTAAAAGTAAAGTTCCTCTAAAATCACATTAAAGAACCAGGTGTGGTGGAGCATACTTGTAATCCCTGTGCTCTGTGAGACTATCAGGATTGCTAGTTTGAGTCTAGGCTGGGCACCTTGTGACTTAGTGAGATGCTGTATAAAAAAAAAAAAAGGCGGGTATCTGGGACTGTAGCCCAATACAAACATTAAATTCCAAAAAAATGACTTACCATATTTATATACTTCAAGTAATAAGTTAAATACCTTGCAATATGCTCTTAACACTTGATTTTTTTCTGGAGAATTATAAAGTGTGTCTTATTTCTTTGTGACTCCTTCAGTACAGTTGCCGCAAACAGCACAGTAATAGAAACACTTTAAGGACTAGAGCCGACTTACCACATTCTCCAACCCTAAAACTGTCAGAAAGTGACTTGATATAATCTTCATTGCCCCAGGATGTTGCATTTACAAAATAGGCTGGTGAATCCCGAATGGTGAAACTGAAAGTGTATCTCTCTGATCCAATGTCTAAGAGAAAACCAATGCTTTTATTTTCTAAATGAAAAGTTTTATTTTCACTTTGAACAAATGATTATATATTTAATCAAACGATCAGTTGATTTCTCTTTCTTTCTTTCTTTCTTTCTTTCTTTTTTTTTTTTTTTTTTTTTGAGTCAGGGTCTTACTGTGTAGTTTAGGCTGGCCTTGAACTTACTATGTAACCCAGGCAGGTCTCAAACTTCCAGCATAACTCCTGCTTCAGCCTTCCATGTGGAGAGATTACAGGACTGTGCCACCACTTATGACTAAATTGTCAGTTATTAATAAGTACTGAAATGATAAAAAATACTTCAGGACTTGGTAGAAAGTGTTATTTTATGTATACATTCTGTATGTCATGCTTCCATGAATTTCAAAGTAAAATGCTAAATTGCCAGTGTAGTTAGTTCACCTCACTATTGGCCCCTTTGCTCCTTTCTCCAGTTATCTGTGTATTTGGAGGGACATGGTATGTAGACTTCAACTGTCCATTTATAAGCATAAATTCTCCATTTTTCTATTACTGTTAATGTTTTAACCCAAATCAAATTTAGTGTAGTTATTTCACAGCAAATTGTGTGGTACTTAATAATCACCACTAGGGGTCAGCAAGTACATTTTTGTACAAAATAAAAATTTATTATTTTTGGTAATTAAAAAATATAGTAGGAAAAAAATAGTGGTGATACACACCTGTAGTTCCAGCACACAGGAAGATCATGAGTTCAAAATCAACCTGGACTACCAAGCAAAGCTTTGTGTCAAAACAAAACAAAAGAGTAATACAACCTAACATACATACCAATATGCCTGGAACAGGGATTAATGTCTACTTTTGGAAAGAGGATTAGAATGGATTGAAAAAGAAATTTTGCTTATCAATTCTACATTTTATATTGACTGAATTTTTCATGAAAAGATAATACTATTTGTGCAGTGCTTTATGAAGTCAGTAAGAACACCTTCTCCCTAAAAGCACTACAGATGTCATAAATAAAAGTCAAACAATAATGAAGTACTCTCCCTCTCATTCAGACAATCTGATGGTGAAATACTACATTTCACTGTTATAATTTTAGCAGATATTTTAATAATTACTTTTTTCATAATTCATGTATTACATATTATGCCTTCTAGACCTTAGTAAACAGTAAGATATAAAGATTTTCTCAAACTAGTCAAGTGGTAATGTTGATCTAATTATGCTAAAATAAAGTACATACATGAATTGCCTAAGAACAAGGTGGTAATTTTGTCATATAACCTCAAAAATAAAGATGACACATGAATATAAAACAAAAATAAAGCTAACTATCACTACACTGTGAGTCAAACCAACAGAGCCATAATTACTCAGATGATTTTAATAAAATTAATGTCTGTCTTGGCCAAAATTATGGCAAAAATTATTTGGCTAGAGTTCTGATTCACTTAAATTATACTTTGGTGCTACATCTTAACTTTTTTTTTTTTTTT